CACTTTCCGCAGCTTCCAGTGGCCAGGAATGGCGATCTGCAGCCAATGGAAGCTGCAAGCAGCTGTGCCTACAAAAGCTCAGATAAATAAAGCCTGTGGCAGCCCACCAGAGGCTAACCCTAGTGAACCATGTCTGGTCCATAGGCCACTTAGGGTACATCTACACTGCAGCACTATTTCAGGATATCGGAAGTATCCCGAAATAGCCATTCCATGTTTATTGAAGCAGCCTGTTATTCCACAAGGTATAAGGAGAATTTTGGAATAGCGCATTATTTTATTATATTTATTATGTGTAAACAGCGCCAAATTATGAAATAAGCTATTTCAAAATACACTCAAAATAAGCTACTCAATTAGCAAAGTGCAAATTGCGTAGCTTATTTTAAGCTATGGGTGCTGTGTAGACACACCTCCATTGCCCATCCCTGCCCTAGGTTAAATGATGTTCTCCCAGTTAACACTAGCAATCTCAGTGAAGTTAATCCAACCTTTTACCAGTGTAACAGAGAGCAGAATTAGACCTGCTGTATCAGCTTTAACATCTAGATTTTGTAAATACTTGTGATTTTAATAGAGACTGAAATATTTGTTCAGAGAAGAGTAAAGTTAGTTAAGAAAGGAAGGACAAGGAAATATATGGTATGGTTACATATTCATCTGAAAAATAGCATGTAAAGGGGACAGAAGATACATGCTAATATAGTGTTATTTGAATGAAGAATGTAACTTACAAAAACATACGTCTTGTATATATTGGTTAAATTCTTCGATGCCAGTAAGAGGGTGGAAAGTTTCAGTTTATCAGCAGGACTGAGTAGGCAAGTTAACTTATAAGAATAGTTGTATTCATTTCAGGATGAAAGTTCACCAACTGATCCTTTTGGTAGAGGAATAATCATAGGTTGGCACGCTAAGACATCATAATTACATGCTAAGTAATCACACTGGAAGTTTTCTGCTACATCTAACCCAGTCATTAAATCTTTTTAGAAGGTCTGTGACCTAAAATTGTTCTAAGTGGCAACAAAACCAGGAGGGCAGTAGCAAAACAAGGTTCTGTAATAAGTGAGACCATGGTTCAAAGACAGGCAAAGTATCTCCAGTTTTAGGCCAGTAAAGGTTGGACATGTCACAATCGTGGTGGTTCCGTCTTCTGGGAGAAGAAAGCAGTTCCAAGTGCCCCACCTAAATCTGGTGCTCCCAAATGGAGAGTCCACCACAGACTGAACCCTGCCCTACCAGCCACAGAGAAAAGATATTAAATATATACCAGTGGGGAGGAAGAGACATGAAATGTGGAGGAAAAATATGCAGTAAAATCTTTCCTGCACTCTAATTGCATCTTTGGCATTCTCTAAGGATACGTGACTAAGAACACAAACCCAGTGGTACAAATTTGCAAATGGTTTAGTTAGCTCATATAATTGTTATTAGAACCTTGAAAGGAGAGCAACGAGGGGTAGTATGCTCTCTGGACAGAACTAATATAATAATACACATGGAAATATTTTACAATGATCATCAAATAATAGAAATGCAGGAATCTCAAGAGGTCAAGAAGCCAGCCCCTGTGCTAGACCATCCCTGACAGGTGTTTGCCAAATCTTAAAAACTTTCAGTGATGGGATTCCACAACATTCCTTGGAAGCCTATTCCAGAGCTTAATTAACTTTATAGTTTGATATTAGGAAAATTTTTCTAACTTTCCTAAAATCTTGTCCTTCCTCCGGTGGCAAAGGAGAACAATTGATCACCATCCTCTTTGTAACAGTCCTTAATATATCTGACGACTGTTATCAGGTACCCCTCCGTTTTCTTTTCTTAAAACTAAACATGCTCTGTTCTTTTAATCTTTCCTCAGAGGTCAGATTTTCTAAACATTTTATAATTTTTGTAGCTCTGCTGTGGACTGGCTTCAATTTGCTCACATCTTTCCTAAAGCACAGGGCCCAGAACTGGTCACAATACTTCAGCTGAAGCCTAGCCAGTGCCAAGTAGAGCAATACAGTCACTTCCATGGATGTCCGATATAATAGGTAGGGGAAGGCACCTCTTTCTCAAACCACCAGCCTGGCCCCGCCAACACTCTGCCCCCAGAACGCCTACTGTATGCATTCTGGGGGTAAAGTGTTGCTGCCCCCAGCGCTCCTGCCTGGGGTGACTGGAGCCATGTGCTGCATGCCCTCCCTGTGCTTCGGGGCCAGGAAGGCTGGGGCCGTGTGCTCTCTGACTTCCCGTGCTATGGGACTGGGGAGACTGAGGATGCACGCCCTCTGCATTCCTTCTCTCCCTGTGGCGGTGGGGGCGCACGTGGCGTGCTGCCCCGCCTCCCTGCAGGAGAGTGGGGAAGTAGTTTGGCTCCTGTGGGGGGTGGGGCCTCAGCAGAAGGGGCGAAGCTGGGGGCTTGCCTCCCCCAGCCCTACCTTCACTGACCGCCCATGGTCACTTCCCATGTCTTACATACAATAGTCCTGTTAATATTCCCCAGAATTATAGTAGCCATTTTTGTAACTTGTCACATTGTTGTCTCATATTCAATTTTGCATAGCTTAAGATGTCTTTCTGCTGTAGTGTAGGTGTAACCTCAGGATGGAGATTCCACTACCACCTTAGGCAGCCCATTTCAGTGCTTTACCACTCTCCTTGTGAACTTGTTTTTCCTAATATCCAATCTAGATCTCCCACATTGCAACTTGAGACCATTGGTCCTTGTTCTGCCATCTGCCACCACTGAGAACAGCCTGGCTCCATCATCATTGGAACTCCCTTCAGGTAGCTGAAGGCTGCTATCAAATCCCCCCTCATTCTTCTCTTTTGCAGACTAAATAAGACCAATTCCCTCAACCTCTCCTCATAAGTCATGTGCCCAGGGCCCCTATCATTTTTGTTGTCCTCTGCTGGACTCTTTCCAATTTGTCCACATCTTTCTTGTAGTGGAGAGCCCAAAACTGGATGCAATACCACAGATGTGGCTCACCAGTGCCAAACAGAGGGGAATAATCATTTCCACTTGATCTGCTGACAATGCTCCTACTAATGCATCCCAATATGCTATTAGCCTTCTTGGCAACAAGGGTATACTGTTGACTCATATCCAGTTTCTCGTCTACTCTAATCCCCAGGTCCTTTTCTGCAGAACATGTATCTTTTGCAGAATTTTCTGCAACATTTATATCTACATCTGTATCCTTACCCACAAAAATGAGCCATGGATACCTGTATCCATATTCATGGATGCGGATATCTGCGGATTTGCAGGATTCTATATATTTACCCTAACATAACTCCATTAGCTTGAATTAAATCATTCTGAATTTATACCAATGTAATGAAATGTTATGCAAATAACATTTCCCCACCCCCCATGAAACTGGAATCTTTTGATATCCAATACACTCAAATAAGTGCAAAATTCTGTAAACCATATTATACCATCAATATTAAAGTACAGTCACCCTCTTCAAAATCAATAAGGCAGTCTTCAGAAAACTGATGGTTTAAAAATCAGGGGTGGGCAATAATTTTTGATGGGGGCCACTCCAGGAATTTGGTAAGTGATCAAAGGCTGCACTCTTCTATGATATTAATGGAGAAGGTGCAGGGTCTGGGATGGAGATTGGGTTCATAAGGGAGATAATTGTAGGGGACTGTGGAGCAGAAGGGGGTATGGGATCTAGGCTGGAATTTGGGTGAAGGAGGGGGTTGTAACCTGGGGCAGAGGATTGGGGTACAGGAGGGAGTGCAGGGTCTGGGAGGAGATTGTGACCTAGAGCAAGGGTATAGGAGGGAGTGCAGAGGGTTTAGTTTGTAACTTAGGGCGGGGAGTTCAGGTGTGGGAGGGGATGGGGTGCCAGGTGCAGGCTCTGGCCCGGAGGCACTTATCTTAGATGGTTCCTGGCCAGCAGCCCAGCAGGACCCCTGGGCAGGTTCCTTGCCTGCCAGGCCCCTGCACACCACTCTAAGTATCTATGGCTATGTCTACACTACCACCCTAATTCGAACTAGTGTGGTTAATGTAGGCAACCGGAGTTGCAAATGAAACCCGGGATTTGAATTTCCCAGGCTTCATTTGCATATTGCCGGGTGCCGCCATTTTTAAATGTCCGCTAGTTCGGACTCCGTGCCCGCGCTACACGCGGCACGAACTAGGTAGTTCGGATTAGGCTTCCTATTCCGAACTACCGTTACTCCTCGTGGAACGAGGTGTACCAGTAGTTCGGAATAGGAAGTGGTACACCTCGTTCCACGAGGAGTAACGGTAGTTCGGAATAGGAAGCCTAATCCGAACTACCTAGTTCGTGCCGCGTGTAGCGCGGGCACGGAGTCCGAACTAGCGGACATTTAAAAATGGCGGCACCCGGCAATATGCAAATGAAGCCTGGGAAATTCAAATCCCGGGTTTCATTTGCAACTCCGGTTGCCTACATTAACCACACTAGTTCGAACTAGGGTGGTAGAGTAGACATACCCTATGTGTTCCATGTGCTTTTATGGGACGGCCTCCGTGTGCTGCCTGCACTGCAAGTGTGGCCCAGGAAGTTCCCGTTGGCTAGTTTCGGGCCAATGGCAGTTGCAAGATTGTGCTGGGGGTGAGGGCAGCACACAAAGCCCCTCTCCACCCAGGTTCACAGCATGCAGAGACCACGAGGCCCATGCATAGAGCCACTTTGAATGGCGTGCAGAGATGTGACAAGCAGGGAGCCTGTCCAAGGCTTCCGCTGGGCTGTGGGCCGATGGCCCGCTAGATCAAATGTTTTGGTGGGCTGAATTCAGCCTACAGGCTGTATTTTGCCTGCCCCTGGTTTAAATGGTCCCACAATTCCATTTTATTATGGTTTTCACAAATATTCTGATCATGTAAGTAAAAGGTCTAGAAAATATCTGTTGCTACTGAAAATACAAGGCTATAGAATGACAAATACACTTAAACTATAACAGGTTCCAGAGTCTTTACAAATATGAAGCTAATTTTATTTATTGTCCTTTATTCATCTTAGATCTCCAAGATGCAGAACCTCCAGTGCAGAACAGTAGAATCACCTCCTCTCCCTTTAGTGCTATTCCATCTATTCCTGAGAATTTCCTTAGGAGTAGCACAGAACTCTTCATCAGAAATATTACAGAAAACTACAGTAAATACATTAACGAAAAGCTCCATTTCACCCTGAAGTCGTCTGCCGTACCAGGGAAATCCTGGATTCCAACAACAACCTCTCATTACTTCAGTATCACAGAAAAGGTAATGCAGACAAGTTAATTGGAATATATTTGGCCTCGTTTTCAGTCATTCCATATGTGTGTTGAACACATTGAGAAGAACTTTGAAAGTGCAGGGGACATTTTCAGAGTGAATGTAGTTCAACTGAGTGGGCAGAGGACAGGTATTTCTGTCTCTCAAATTGGCATGCTGTGAGAGTTGTGGTTCCACCTCTATTGGAAACAGAAGTGCTATTCCAACCTTATGACCCCAATTTTCAGAAGTTTTACAGGTACAGCAAGTCCTATGTGCAATTTAGGTAGTTTGGCTAAATCCATGGCTTGCAGGTTGTGACACTGCATTTCATATTCTTTATGGGAATGTGTTTATGAATATTAATATAATGACTATGCTTTATCTGAGATGCTTCATGTGAGATCATTGGGAAGGGGATAATTATATTCAGTAGATTACAATATGTGTATGTATCATTCCTGTATTTGAAGTTAGAAATATGAAATATAATCATGCTAAGTGAGGGCTTTAGCAATACTTTAACTTAATGGCCCAATACTCAGGACAATGATCTGTGAATAGACTTGTTTCTCCTGTAAGCCTGGGAGATAGAGCTATGGTGGCTCCTACCAAGAATGTAGCTATGTCATCTGGTACTGGGATTCATCTTACACATTGTAAGAGCAGAAGAAAATTTAAGACTGAACACAAAGGATTCCCGTTTTATGCAAAATCTTAGGGATGGAAAGTGAGGTAATCTTGGTCATCAGCTAGCTCAAGATGTTGGCTGGAAACATTTAACACTGAACTGGTGGAAAGATTGGTCCCAAGCTAGAAAGCCTTCCAGTCTGTGAAAAAAGTTTGTTGGAACCATTCTAAGGGTGGGATATTACGTGTATCTGGTTTCTTAGTCTATTAAGCTTAGCTTGTGCATTCTGTTTTGTTTAGTAACCTACATTGTTCTGTCTGCTATCTTTTATGATCACTTAAATCCCTCCTTATATACTTAATAAAATCACTTTTGTTTATTAATAAACCCAATGTAAATAATTGTTATGTGGGAGGCAAGAATTCTGGGTGCATCTCTCTTTACATTGAGAAACAGGAAGAATTACATAAGTTTTTGCTGTACAGATCTCTATACAGCATAGGACGGATTTATCTAAGCCTCAGCTCCCAGAAGGATTGGTTATCTGAGTGCTGGAGACAGGTTCTCCCTGTGCTGTGTTGAGTTAAGGTCTGCAGCTTTAGGAGCATGACCCTGTGTCTGTTGTGAAGCAGGCTAGCATGTCTGACTCTGCAGGACAGTGTACTTGGGGTCGAAGCAGGAAGGGAAAACAGGCTCAGTGGGGTCTCAGCACATCAGGTAACAGTTCCAAGGGGGTCCTGACAGGAGCTGATGTCAGAATGACTCTCAGATAATAGTGAGCTAAATTCAGTCTGGCTCTTCCATCAGGGACATGCAATGTGGAAACAGGGTAAAGAGCAGGGTAGACTGTAATGAACGTGGTATGTAATTTATTATATCACTGCTGCAGATCCACTGATGTTTGAAATCCCTTCAATTCCACATTCTTTCTATTGCCATGGGGTATTTTCTGTGCTAAAAAATGCAGCATTATTTTGGATGAGACTGGGAAATGTGCATTCTATCTGCCTAGTTTGGTGTGTAGTCTAGAAGGACTAACTAGCATACAGCTGTGTGGAGTGCTCTAAAATGGTTTGTGGTTTATTTGGTGGTCTTCACGGTGACAGTGAAATCTGCCCTGATTTTGGGCCTGCCCAAGGATGTCAACACCCCACAGACTTTGCTGGGGGCAGAAGGAAGAGGGAGGAAGGACAGTGGATAGAGAGGACTTGAAGCAAAACTTCCAAATCCTTGGTCTGCCACAAAGAGTATCTGTGCACCCATTCTACATAAGCTAGTGTGAAAGGCAGCACCAGAGGTAGACAAGGGGGAGCAATTTGACCCATGATTATGCAGATAAAGAACCAACACCCTGCACACAAGGTACAGAGTGGCTGTGGCAGCTAACCCAGCACACAGGTTGGAGGAACTGAAGCTAGAGGTAAAGTTACTGAACTATAGCTCCACAGTCTGATGCTGAGCTGGGGTAGAATTTTGCACTGTAGGATTTGATTTCATAGGCTTCATGCAGATAAATTAGATGTTCCCTATATGATTTGCATTCAAAGCTAGCTGTCTCACACACATCATTGAAGTACATGCACCCCCATTGAGAATGCCAAGAGCCTGCTGGTAATTTTACTCAGAATGGAAATGTTACGCAACATCTACAGTTGTATTAGCAAGCTTACAGTATGCCTCCCTACACTATCACAACGTACTTCCATCAAAGGTTCAGGAAAACCAGGTTACATCATAATCTAGTGAACTGAGAACTAGGAATTCTTAAATTCTAGTACTGGTTTTGCCACTGATTCACATCAATGGACTTCAGCAAGTCACAAAGATCAAAGTTTTCAAGCTTAGATGCCCAAAGTGAAGCATTTAAATCCATACTAAGCATCTACATAAAAGTGATCTAGTTTTCAGGAGGTACCAAGTACATGCAGCTCTAAGCAACAACAAGGCACTTTAATTTAGGTGCTTCATTTTAGACACACAATTTTAACATTTCTGGCCTTAAACTGCTGGTCTTTCAGTTCCCTCTCTGTAAAATGGGGTTAAAACATTTATTTGTCCACTTGCCATGTGTGTTTAAAGGACTGTATAATGTTTGTACAATGCTTTGAAAATAGAAAGAGCTGTGAAAGTACGTGGTATCATTGTTAAGAATACAATGCTTTCTGTGAACAGTACCAACACAGGCCAGCCTACATGGTATACAGAATAAAAGCCTTGACGTTGTTTGGCTATGAGCAAACCCATTTTGGGGGGACAATGGTGATATCTGAATCAAACAAAATGTTTAGTTTAGAGCAATTTGGGGTTGCAAGTAAATTTGCAGCTTGCACTTTCAAAGCTGTGACAAAAGCTATGCAAAGCCCATTTCCTCCTGATTAAAAAAAGAGAATAGTTGGTGTTTAAAAAAAATGGCAGGAAACCTTGGGAAAGTGTCTGAAAAAGACTGGAGCCTGCTATTAGACACACATCCGGGCACTCCCAAAACTCACTTCCAGCATTTTTTTTTTAAAGTCCTTGGCCGAACAGACTGATTCAGTAACTGCTAAAGTCCATGCCTACAGATTTACTAAGTGTGTGTTTGCTCAATGCCAACTTGGAATTAATTATTTTGTACTAGAAGACTTATGTAGGCCTGGGGCCAGCCTGTGGTGGCAGGGGCCACATGGGTCTGACCCAGGGGAGGCATAGGCCACCTGACAATATTCCCCGGAGCCAGCCCAGGGCGACTTTGGTCATGTGGTTGCCCAGGGCAGTACAGGGTAGGAATGTTAAATTTTGATTAATCAGCTAATCAAGTAGTCAATGGAATTTCCATCAACTACTTGATTAGTCGATGGGGGGGGGGGCCTCGCTATCCCCACTGCGCCTCTGCCTTTTAAATGTAGTAAGAGGTGTGGGTGCAGCGATGAACCTGGGATGAGCGAGAACTCAAGCGGTCCCTGCTCACACCATTTCCACTGCTGTACTTCTTCCTCCCTTGGTCCCCCTCCCACGAGACAGTGCTGGGGGGAACCGGCTTTTAAGCTGGCTCTCCACTGCACTGGCTCCTGCTCCCGCTCCTCCCTTGCTGCATCTGATACAGAAGCGAAAGAAACTCATAGGAGTAAGGGTTATTTCAAAAGAAGGGTTTTTTTTCCGAAATAACCCCATCTAGATTGCGTTTTTCTTTCAAAATAGGGTACAGGCAGTCCCCGGGTTACATACAAGATAGGGACTGTAGGTTTGTTCTTAAGTTGAATCTGTATGTAAGTCGGAACTGGCGTCCAGATTCAGCCGCTGCTGAAACTGCCCAGCGCTGACTACAGGAAGCCCGAGGCAGAGTTGCTCTGCCCCAGGCTTCCTGGAATCAGCGCTGATCAGTGTCAGCAGCAGCGGACTTGGGGTTCTTAAGTTGATTCTGTATGTAAGTCAGAACTGGCGGTCAGTTTCAGCAGCGGCTGACTTGGGGACGCCTGGGGCAGAGCAGCTGGGGCGCTGCCGGTTGGTCCAGTAGCACCGAGGAGTGGCGCTACTGGAGCACCCCAGCAGCACCCCAGCTGCTCTGCCCCAGGGTCCGGCAACAAAAGCCTGGTCTGCTGAGGGGGGAGGGCACACTAGCTGACCAGGGACACGGGGAGCAAAGCCGCAGTGGCAGCGGGATGCCGCGCCTCTGAGGCTTTGCTCTGGCAAAGCCTCAGAGGCGCGGGACCGCACTGCGGCTGGGGCTTCGCTCCCGGTGCCCCTGGTCTGCTGGAGACGGTCCCCAGCAGACCAGGGGCACCGGGAGCGAAGCCCCAGCCGCAGTGCGGTCCCGCGCCTCTGAGGCTTTGCTCTGGCAAAGCCTCAGAGGCGCGGGACCGCACTGCGGCTGGGGCTTCGCTCCCGGTGCCCCTGGTCTGCTGGAGACGGTCCCCAGCAGACCAGGGGCACCGGGAGCGAAGCCCCAGCCGCAGTGCGGTCCCGCGCCTCTGAGGCTTTGCTCTGGCAAAGCCTCAGAGGCGCGGGACCGCACTGCGGCTGGGGCTTCGCTCCCGGTGCCCCTGGTCTGCTGGAGACGGTCCCCAGCAGACCAGGGGCACCGGGAGCAGCTTTTCTCGCCCCGGAGGTTGAGGTGGCAGATCGCTGCCTGTGAGCTCCGGGGCGAGAAATCCCCGTTCGTAAGTGCAGATCCGACATAAGTCGGATCCGCGTAAGTCGGGGACTGCCTGTATTTCGAAAAAGCGCCTGGATGCAATTATGCTAATGAAGTGTGGAAAATTCAAATCTGCATTTCATTTGCAGTTTTGCTCATCTGCATTTGCACTCTTCTCTCGAAAGAGGAATGCAGTGTAGACATACCCTGCGATGAGAAACAATCAGATTGTAGACACATCTCGTTGTCCTGGCACAACCAAACCCTGAATTTGCTTTAAGTTATAATAAGAGGAAGCTGCATACTGAATTTGGTGGTCCTAACTGTTACTGTTTAGAAGGCGTTCTTGAACAAACAGATCCACTGACAGATGCACAGACAGACAGATGCACAGTTCTAAAATATATAGTAAGATTATTCTGTTTATTCTGTTAAAATATATTACCATCAGTGACCTAGTCTATCGCTTATTCCACTGTTGGGATAGACATTTCCTTACCCTTGAGTATCACTGTCTTCTGCAATATACAGAAGAAATCCTGGAAGTCCACAAACCTATACTTACATAAATACAAGAAGAGTGAAGCTTTTAAAGCCTTTTTGATTGCAAGAATAATAATCTACCAATCAATCAGTTAAAAAAAGAGAACTTCTCAATTTAAGTACTAGGCAACACAGAAAAAGCAACAACATTCTCTCCCTTGAGAATCTCCCAGAATGAAATGTTGAAGTTTGGCTCTCTTGCCATATAGAATAATACAACTTATTTGTTCAGGAGAATTCATTCCTTTTAGAATCAAATTCAACATTTGGTTGATGCTATGAAGCTTCCTCTGACTTCATAAAGACAAATTGGTAAAGGAAAGTGCAATTTGGCCAATTGTCTAGAAACATACCTGCAAATTTGAACAAAAAAAGTTCATTGTGTTCCTCAAAAACAGATCTTTCTTCTTTCATGTGAAATTTATATTTAGTTTATGTATGTTAAAGAACACTTTTGTTATAATTGAAAATTCTGAACATGTTGCATTTCCAGAAGGACCTATGTATGATCTACACAAGTTTTTTTTTTAAAGGTGTTTTTAAACAGGCACATGTTGAAATAGGTACCAAGGGAGGTTTTTTTTCAGTATGTAACACTCATAAGTCTCTGAATATTGCTGTTCCCTGGTATGGCGACAATATTAATAATATTTTGTCATTCCTGAAAGCACTATCTCCTCAGTCCTTAATAAAATAATCTTGTAATATCAGCAAGTCTGAGTGGCTAGTGAAGTAATAGACATCACTCAACTTGAATTGATTTTAACAAGGTATCTTGATCATTTCAGATCTACATTTATTTTGTTTTAACACACATACCATATGTTACCTGTCACACTGCTATTTATCACTTTAGACCCTGGTCTTCACTAGAGGGTTATTTCAAAATAACTCCCCTTATTTTCAAATAACAAGCGGAGCAACCAGACTATCAAGCCCGTTATTTCAAAATAAGGGGTTGGTTATTTTGAAATAACTCCTCCTGCTTTCCGTGGGGAATACGTTTATTTTGAAATAGTTATTTCAGGAGTTATTTCAAAATTAGTTATTTCAAAATAATTTACTAGTGTAGACATGCCTTGGAATAGCTCTTTGGGGCAGAGACCATTATTTTATGTTATATTTGTACAGTGCCTAGCACCATAGGGTCCTTGTCAGTGACTATGATTTTTAGTTCCACCATTAATACAAATAATAAATAAAAATAATGCTAATATCACTACAGATTATGAATCACATAGTTGTGGTTACAGAAAAATTGTATATGTGTCACTGAAATTGATCCAGCCTGATATCATATTTTGGTTTCTGCTCATTTTATTGTTTATGTCCCTGTTGGGGACAGATTCTGCCACACTTGTTGCAATGGGACTATATGCAGAATAAGACATTTATCATTATATTGAGCTTTGTGTCAGTGGAATCCTGCACACAGTCCCGCTGAAATCAATGGAGCTTTTGCACAGGTGTGGAAATCCTCACTCAAGAAGTCGGTGTGGGCTCAGGGATCAAGATACTATTCAGCCTGAGGAAAACAGTTACAAGCTTGGCCTTTTCACACTGTTGGATCTTGCTTATCAGACTGAACACTTATTTCTAACAATAAACAGAAATATCCAGCAGTCCCCCTCCCGTTTCCTCCAAGAGTGTTGGCCATTTTTAACCCAAGGCATTTTTCATGTCAATACCCACTGAAGAAAATGCTAAAATGATGCTGACAACCTTGCTTAATTGGTGATCATGAAAGTTAAGACCCTTGTGCATTTTATTTAGTACAGAAAATGCAGAAATACAATATATCCTCAAGTTAATGGGGGAGGGACACTACCTTTCTTACCTATTGAAACCCAGTTTAGTCAATCTGCTCCTGGTTTCTACCTGGAGACTGAAGATGTGGAACAATTCTAGGTACTTTCTCCTATTCATTGCTGTGACTTGAAATCTAAATGAAAGGAAATGGGAGTAGATAGAAGTTGCTGGTTCTGCTGTTACTTGTGCTTCTGAATTGTATGAACTTAATTTTCTTTGTTCCCTGAGAATCTGGAGAGTGTCTTGCTATGGGTAGTTTGTATTTTTAGGTTCAGAGCTATTCAGGGACTGGGAGGGAAGACTCTTTCAAAGACAAAAGCTTGGGGGAGGAGAGTGGAGATCTCTTCTTGGCCCTCTTTGATGTACTGGCTACTCCTCCATCCATGCATGGAGTTGTGGAGAACGTACATCCCAGGGCGTACAAAGACACACGCTATTTTTGTTGTTCTTAGAGGTAGAGATGAGGCTGGTTTAAATGTCATAGAAAAATAATGACTGCGTATGTTGACTTCTGGTTATCTTGGCCACTGCTGCAATCAAACTATAGGGCAGAGAAAGGATTTAGGGAGGTGGGGGGCTGAAAAACTTAGCTGGAAAATGGCATTGACAAGATGCTAACAGTGCAGGGACAGATGGGACCCGGGGCGGGGGCTGAAGAGCCCGGGTTGGCAGGAGAGGGAGGCTGGGAAAGTGAAGTGGACAGGACAGGACGGGCCGGGGTGAGGCAAGTGTGAAAGCAGACGGTTTACATAAGAGATTCCGAGGCGTGCGGGGAGGGGAGAGAAGCCCGGGGCGAGCATCATCTGGCCGCATCAAGTCAGAAATAGCCCTGGGAACGGAGCCCCGGGCGAAAGCGGCGGAGGGAGGAAGACAGGAAGGAAAAGGGAGGAGGGGGCTGAGCCTAGGAGCGGAGGAAAGTGAAAGTCTTGGAGTGGGTTGAGGGGGCCCAAGGGGCAGCCCGGCCTGGGCGCCCTGCCGGCTCGGTCATTAGCTCCTGCCCGCCCCCCTCCCCGCTCCCCCCTCCCCCCCGGGAG